TATAGCGTCAAGCTATGGCGTGCTGATACTTGCAGAAGACGACAACTTTTCGTGCCAGAGGTCGCTAGTGTTTTTTGATCCGCGGGAAAACAGTAAAACATTTTTTTTAGTCTTTTTTTTCTTTCTTTCTTTCTTTCGTTTTTTCTTTCTTTCTTATTTCAACTTCCCTACTTATCTTGGTGTTCTTTGGAACATATGCGAGCTTATTAATTTTTTGGAAACACTTTTCCATTTGTATAATACAGAACCCTTTTTTTTTCTTTCATTTTTATTTTTTTACTACTACTTCTACTACTACAACTACTATATCAGCAAATAAAACAATTTTGTAGCGTATATTTTTTGTTCTAAAAAAGCGCGTGAACAATCCAAAATTATAACAGTTAAATGTTTGAGGGTTTCTAAAGCGGGTTACTTAATACTAAGTTTAGTCTATGTTAGGTGTCCAATTCTTATGGCTTTATGCTAAGCAAGGCTTGCTTCACGGTACAAACATTTTTTATCTGCTTTGCATTAATGATCTAGCTAAGAGTATACTCCGCTCTTTTTTTGATATCTATGCAGACGATACAAAATTTTAGGTGACCAGAGCATGACAGCTGATCTCTCGTATATACGATCCATCGCTAAAGATTTCGGTTCTTTGTACCGTTGTTGTAAATACTTGACTCCTGCTGCTTATAAAAGCCAGATCACGTTGAAAATGGAGTATCTTGGATGGAGCTGTCCAGTCTCCAGTCTAGATAGAATCCAAAAAGCGTCAATGCAGACCTGTGGATGATAAATTATTTTCCACCCTAGAAGACTTTTCTCATTGGCGAAATGTTGCAAGGCTTTTGCTATTAAATTGCTATTTCCTTGCAAAATGTTCAAACGAGTTACATTCCTTAGTTCCACCAGTTCTATCCTTCACAACTAGGGCCTTCCATACCACGTACACTGTAGTCAACAACCTTCATTATCTTCATATTCCATTACCAAAAAATTAATTTCTACCCGAAGAGCCTCTGCCAAAGAAAAGCTACTTTGTGGAATCGACTCCCAAGAAGTTGCTCACCCAACAACAACAATCTTAAACAGTTTAAAACTAGAGTTAACGATTATCTTTCCTACATATCCTCATTAACTGGCGAAATGTTGCAAGATTTTCGCTCCATCCAAGATACTCCATTAATCTTACCGCTCACACAACACATTAATTGAGTGACCCTCTACCTCGAATGGCTCTTGGGCCTTGTATAGAGTGAACATTATTAAAAATGTTGTCCTATATTCGTTGCCTAAGCTTAGCAGTTATTTAGATATTTATCCACGCGTACACTTTAACGAAAACTGATAAAATCTATGCGTACATAGGACCAAAAGCAAAAACTGCTTAGACTTCCTCAGCACTTCCACCTATATTTAGCAGTTATCTAGCCACATGCCCAATCGAACATAATGTGGCACAAGGTCGATATTAAAGAGCTTCCTGAGCACTGCCCATCTTAAGTTTGATAAATAACAATTGAATTTTTCATCATTTATTATAAAACACAGTCGTACATACAACCGTGTACGTTCATTTTCATATATACATTGTATGGACGTGTGTGTTATATATATGTTATAGCTTTATACTTATACATAGATATCAGATTGCATTATTTAAGAAAGAAATGATAATAAAAAAGATGTCAAATCCGACAAGAACAATCAAACGCATATGGATCCGGGAACAAAAATAAAATGACATGTGCACGAACGCAAAATATGTTTCAGCGTTGGAAACTTCAGATAACTCGCTATTGCAGCCAAAATGAAGAACCTCTGTCTGGAGATTCAAGTCTATGTTCCAGTAAACGCCAGAGTGAATTCAAAACAGAGTAAAGCTGTAAAAATATTTTGATTTTGCCTAAGTACTACTGGAAAGTAGAATATAATGTTAATAATCGTGCCTGTAAGAAAGCAATAGGAACAGTACCAAAGAGCTTTTTAAAGAATTTGGAAAAACTATGGAAAAAACAGAAAAAAAATGGAAACCATACAAAAAACAACAGCATTATTAGAAATTAAAATTGTTGATTAAACGATGATTAAAACGTTGTTTTATGAATTTTCTGACAGAGTAATTGTGAGTTCAATCCCTGATCTAGGTAGTACAGACTTTACTCAGTAAAAACAGAGCGAGCAATAACTGAGCATTGTAAAATAAGAACAAGATGAGATATCCCTAAAATTTGACCGTGGAGGGGAGAAAAATCTAACCCCTTAGATTAAATAATGGTCCCAGTTTGAAGTTCTCTGACGGTTACCCGGAATGACATACACGTGATGAAGGCCGGAGGGTAGAGCGGACGAAGTGTTGTGATAAGAAAAAAACAAAGTTGAGGACGTTATCCCGAATGTAAATAATATAAATAATTATAATTCTTCATCCCAGAGGTACAGACAAAAGTCATTACGAAAAATCAGCAAGAAAAATAGCCACGATTTTGTTCAGGTGGCGTAAAGTAAAATCTAATCATTCAGCCGAGTTCAAATTTCGGCTGAGGCTGTTGCGTTCATTACACGACGGATTTTCTCATAAGTTTTTATATATATATATAAGTAACTTAATTTAAAAATAATAGTAAATATATATTTAATAATTTAAAAATATGTGTCTCAGCAGCTGTTGTGATGCGTCAAGTGTGGTAGTCTGTAGTGGTAGTGCTTGTCGCTTCTCGCTTTCAATTACCGCCGCTGGCTAGCAGCAATGCAAAAAGGGGAGCCGAGTGCGTAAGTCTTCTCCTGCCAGTATATAGCCTCTCCATCAGCAACCCCTATATAGTGCCTCCTCATGGCAACCGAGCACCTTGCGGACTCGGGCTAAACTACAGGGCACGGGGGAGGAGTTGGCCCCCTTAACAGGCGGCATGCAGGCTCACCGGTATGTGGACATGCCCTGTTGTCCATGGACCAAACCCCAGCTATGGGTCAAATAGCTCCACTGCCTTGTGGAAATCTTCGGGATAAGGAAAGGCCAAGGAGTAAACCCTACACAAATCCGGAGTGGAGCCCCTAAGGCGGATGGACGGCACTCTGTGCTACCTTCCGGCAACTTTTGCAGCCGCGTTGGTACCAAACTTTATTGGTTTATCCTCTCCTTTGGACTCTGCTCCCGTCCAGGCTCGTGGCGCAGTGAGCGCTACTCCATCGTCTCCCGAGACGGGCGGATGCTGATCCGAAGAATTTAAAAATATGACTCCATCGCTACGCAGGAATTACCATGTTTCAAAAACAGAAACTAAAAACTTCAAATTCAATTATAGAATTAAATTAAAGTTCCTAGTTCTGTTTCATTTTCAAGCGAATTTTGGAATAACTTATTTTGAAATTTACTGAGTTTTATAAGCACATACATTCATAATATTAGTTTCTAAGGATACGGGTAAATTCAATCATTTTGTCAAGGGGTGGTAGAGTATTCATTTTCACTGACAACGATTGTATCAAAATATGAGTTACTTTCGAAAAATGTTAGGGTAGGGGTGCCTTTTCCAACCAATGATGACATCCGTTCAACGCATGTCGTCTGGTCTTTATCAACGACAAAAAGTTTTTCGACATTTTTGTTTCACTGTTAAATTTGTAATTGTATACGCAACTATTTTTTTTCTAAAATGGTTGTTTGTTTATGAGTACGTCGTATTGAACTATAATTTTAAAATATTATTCCTAATTCTAATTACTAACAGACTATACTTCTTTTAAAACAAATAAATGTGATAGAATTACTTAAATTATTTAAGAATTATTATTAAATCTGTTTCTCATCACAAGTCACTACTTGATCAAGAAATGGATAATTCGAATTTCGCAGAAACAGCATTGAACACACCTCAAAACTTCGAAGACTTTGAATTTCACTGAATTCTCGTGGAACTCATCTACCGAGTTTCTTCACCATGTCAATTTTCTTGAGATGGTCCGATATTGTCGAAATACAAACACCCGTTGTCTGAGACATTTCTCTGGCGGTTTGACGTGGATTTTGTTGGACTAGTGCTTTCAGCTGTCGATTGTCAAATGCAGATGGACGTCCTTTACCATCCTGATCTCCAAGTTTCGTATCCCTATTGCGGAACTTCAGAAACCAATGCCGTCAGCTATTTGAGAATACAATTCTGATATAAAATTAACAAAGAGGACACTTTCTTATGAATGTGTAATATATTTTTGTACTGCTACTATAATAATATATTAGAATATAAAAGGTTTATTCTAAAATCGGACATTATTTTCCGAACAACCTAATTCGGTTTCCAGTGTATACACAGGGCGCATTAGGTAACATAATTCTGAAAGAGGTTGATATAAAATTAACAAAGAAAACACTTTAGTCATTAGTAATGACTAATATCTTTTTGTGCAACTATTATAATATATTAGAACACAATTTAAAGGGTTATTCTAAAATCGGACATTATTTTCTGAATATATTCCTGATATATTCGTGTGTGTGTGTGTGTGTGAATGCGCATGCGCAGAAGTACAAAGACCTACCTACAACTGAGTCGCACGTAACAAGGTCAAAACATCCTTGTAAGGCACTCGAGAATTCAAGCAATTCGAAAAGACGCGAGCACTTTCGAATGCGAGTGGGTATTTACATGTAACTTGTGTCCAAGCGTCGATTGCTGTCGTTAGGTTTTATCACATCACGTAATTGACATTGAAGCTCTCCCCAACCGCCCCCAACGCCTGATACTTCACCCTGCTGTGATCGTAATTATTTGCTTTCATGTCACTGTGTTTGAAATTAACAGTTGATGAGCAATCTTGTGTCCGCAGAAATCATCGAAGAACGATGAAACCTCGTAAGGGCAGGATAAAGATTGGAGGATAGAGGAAAAGATCGGTAATATATATAATATATATATATATATATATATATATATATATATAAAGAGAGAGAGAGAGGGGGACACGAGAAAGAGAGAGGGGGACACGAGAAAGAGAGAGGCGGGAATAAAAGGTTAAAATAAAAAGTGAGTGGTGAAGAGACAGAAATCTAAGAGAGCAACTGTAAATGGATGAGTGAGGAAGAATAATGGATATGAACAGAGTGAGATAGATAGATAGATAGATAGATAGATAGATGAACCGGGAGAGAGAAATGAACAGAATGAAATAGCTAGATAGAGAGAGAGAGAAAGAGAGAGAGAGAGTAAAAGAGTGAGAGAGACGAACAGACATATATGAACAGACTGATAAAGATATGAAGAAACTGAGATAGATAGACATAAACAGATAGAGATAGCAAGCGATAGATAAATAGAAAGAGAGAGAGAAAGAGAGAGATGAGCTAGCTAGCTAGATAGATAGATAGAAAGAAAATAAATAAATAAAAAACGAACAAAGAAATTAAATGTACTCAACTTTTTCTTAAGTCTTACAACATAATTACACTAAATCCCAAAAGGTTTTAATGTCACTTCTCTCTTCTGAATTAATTACTTGAGTTTCTGTTTTTCTTTTTTTACGTGTTGGCTTCCTGTATCTGCTGAAAGACTAATATTCTCATTCGTAGTATTATGGCATTTCGAATTTGGTTAGTTTATGAAGTATTCTACAAGATCGTTCCTTACTTCCTCTTTGTCTTTGTTAAATCTCACTTACTAACCTTCCATCCTTGAACGTCTTTATCAAATGCAGTGGGGGTATCCTTTTTGGGGATCCTAATATTGGAATTAGGTGTATTGAAATTATCATTTCTTTTATTTTTAATCTCCGTTTTGAAATTCCTAGATGTAACCGTAAATTCAATTCTAATAGTTTCTTCACCCACACTTCCGACTTCTTGCTTTCCTGTCAACTACGAACTCCAAAAATTCAAATTCAGTGTCAGACGCCACCTTCATCCTTTCATTTTGTTCTTTTATTTTTCTCTCTCCTCAATAAAATTTTCTCAATTTCTTACATTTCAGAGTCGAAACGATACAAAATGAATTATTTTAATCCACAAATGAAAAGCCAGATAATTATCGACGACCAACTCGGAGTTTCGCAATGCTTTACTATTCAGTGTCCAGATAAGAATGACTGTCTTAATTATTACAGAATATACATTTTATTTTATAAACGCTTATATAACTAAATTTTCAACTTTCAAATTCCTTTACACCTATAACTGCACATCGCGTCAGTTTTCTACATTAACTGAAAACTCAAATATTCGGGGTTTTTTTCTGTGACAATGATTATAGATCTGAGTAGCCATTCAGCACTTTATTTTCAAAGATTCTGAAAAAATCTATTGAGATTCAAGAAAGCATACATAAAGAATTCACAGCTAAAATAGGGATCAATGAACCGTTTATACTTTTAGATGTTCAATGGTATCTGTGATTCATTGATTACTCCTGGTGTTATATAAATCGCTTTTTGCTCAGTGTCTGGTCATGTTAACAATTTTGTGGTTAACATCACAGTGAAATGGAAATATCTCTCAGAAGAAAAAAAAATAGCAACAGTACTACAAGATTAAGTTGAAGCAAGGCGACCACTTAACAGACTAAGGAATCTACGTTCCTCCCATGAAAGTCTTGAACAAGGCTTTGACTGAAATCTAAGAAATGTAGGTGTAAAGGAACTGATTAAAATGCTTCATTTTTTTTCGGGAAATAGTTTTGTCTAAATGTAGATAAATATTTTTTTGTGTAGATTATTAAAACAACTAAAGGAAGTAAACAGTCATAAATTAGTTAACTTAAGCTGATTTGCCTCACTTCCCACTACAGATAGAAGAGGAAAGATATAAGTAAATACACGGGAAATATGTAAATAAATACACATTGATAGTTATTATATGGTTTGATAAATGCCAAATTGTCAAGAACATAATAATCCCAATATGTAGCACCTTCAGAAAGTGACTGAAAACTATACCAATATTTGATCCAACCCTTATGAATTACATTTGGTCGATGAAACTGTTTAAAAGCCGTCAATATGTGTGCCTGCACGAAGTCATCGTGATCGAAGTTTTGCATGTACCGGACTTATTCTATTGGTGATCATGCCAGAATATACGTTATCTCCCAGAGTTGGTACCTGATAAAAAGAAATGCAACTTTTATGGCTCTGATCGATATCAATATTACTGGAATGACCCCTCTACAAACCATTGCTCCTACTAGAGCAAATGGTGAAGGAAGTGTAATGGTATGGGGCGCAATGTCCACCGCAAGAAACATGGATTTGCAGGTAGTTGAGACGCCGATGAATATGCAAGGATGCGTTTATCTTCTTCGTCAATCGCTCCTGAAAGATGAACGAATTCAGATATGCGGGCAAAACTGAATTTTTCCGCAGGCTAATTTCGCATATACACAATACTAGAGAGGCGAGCAACCTTTTTTTTTTTTTTTGTTTTTTTGAAGTGAAAACGATTCGAGTCTAGAACTGGCCAGCCAATTCCCCTGATTAAAACATCATAGAAAACACCGGGAGTGTCTTTCTCGGTAATTTTTTCTTAAATGGAAGATATGACTCAGTGGATGAGCTAAATGTGGTTATTTTTAAAGCTTGAAACGACATGCTACCTGAGTTCATTAAAACTCTCATAGGAAGTATGATGCTTTTCTAAGTGTAGCTTAGACGTGGCATACGGCCGAAAGTATGTGACATTCAGTGAGGATCGAACTCACTATACAGTCGTAATTAATCTATCTGCCGAGACAAGCTTGCTAACCATTATACCACGTCAAAGTTCCCTTAAATGATTTTCTAAGCGTCTCTCAGATGTGGCACAAGGCTGAAAGTATGAAGCATTTAGTAAGTATCGAATCGCTACTCAGTCATATTTGAGACAAGCTTGCAGAACATTGCGCTACGTCATCGGAAGTTGGAAAGACAAGATGTATGCGGTTTATTTGGTAAAAGCAATGCAACATATCAGAATAGTGATTTACTAAGTGTACATTACATATGGCACAAGGCCGAAAGTATGGGGCACCTAATGAGAATCGAATTCAAACAAATTATTACAATAATGTTGCAAGCTCACTAAAATTAGTTATTGCTAAAGTTTTGTTGGTCATATATTCTGATATCTTATTAAAGACAAGTTTGCGCCCTCCGGCGGTTTCCGAACCTTGGCAAGGAGAACCCTTCGTTAGATCTGACGTGCTTATACCGACTCAGCCGCGAAGGACATTGTCGATCAAGCAAGGCTGAATACCGAAATCCTTCTTGTCATAGATTACTTGAAATTATCCTATCTGCTCAGTTTCGTATCCAAACGTAAACAAAGTAATTTTTAAAGAAGTAATGGATTTTTAATTTATTAATCCGACAAATTTTTATTTAGTAGAAAATTAAACAAATCTCGGGTTCTTTTAATGCGCCTTTCACACGAAAAAAAATCATGAATTGTTTATATTTTTTATAAAATGAGAATGTTTCTAAAGTTGTGCCCAGTACTTTTGTTGACGTGCGATATTTGCAACGGTTATCGGCGTAAAAAGTGGTGTTGTCGAGCCGAAGTAAAATTTCAGCCTTGTCACGTGTTCATTTCGCATAGATGCCTTTAGAAAGGGGATGGACCAATCTCTTCTCCTTCCCCCATCTCAGACCCAGCTGTGGATTCAGTAGCTGGACTCTCTAGCTTTGGGTAGAAACAACTTCGCTATCTTGCGAAAGATGTCATGGCAATTCATCGATAATTAAAGAAACTATGGGGAGACATGACCCCCTACACCCTGAAGGGATGAAGAATTTTAAAAAATTGATTTAATTCCTCAATATTAGTAATTATATTTTCCCCTGAATTTCTAATGAATTTTTATAGTAATATTTATAATGACTTTCTATGCTAAAAAATATGTGAAGACAGAATGCATGATTATCAGTAAAAGGATGAGCCCGAATTGCGATTTGCAGGTCGGGAACACTAGAATCAAGCAGACGCAAAAGTTTAAATATCTGGGAATCGTTTTTCAGAGGATAATAAGTGCGACACTGAGATCCGTAGACGTATTGGGATGGCCAAGGACGCATTCCAAATGGTGGGAAGAGTATTGCGAGACAGGAGGATTTCTTTGATAACAAAGAAAAGAATACTGAGCTGTTACGTGACATCTCTCCTTCTTTGCGGCAGCAAATGTTGGACGATTTCTTCAAAGATGAAGAAGAGACTCGAAACGGCGGTGATGTCGTTCTACAGAAGGATACTAAGGATATAATGGTCCGAGCATATGAGCAACGATGAGGTCTTAGAAAGGATGCAAACAAGGCGGAGGCTTATACTTAACATCAGGAAGAGGCAGCTGAAATTTCTTGGGACATGTAATGAGGAAGGAGAGCCTGGAGAATCTGATACTCACAGGTCGAATAGAGGGAAAGAGAGACAAGGGAAAACAACACATGACATACCTGGCGGGCTTAAGCAAGTGGATGACAGAACGTGTTCTAGGGGAGGAAGAAGAGGGAAGGAACTTGTTGAGAGCTGCAAAGGATAGAGGGAGGTGGAGAGCCATGATCGCCTACGTTCTGAAACGATATGGCACATAAAAACGAAAGAAGACCTGCTATTCTCTTGCCAATCTTTAGAATTCCATTTAAATCTTTCATATCATATTTGTCTTCTTTCTTTAACATGATGTTTTTTTTTTCCTTTTCCCATATTTGTCTTTTGGTTTTATTAAGCATTTCTTTAAATCTTTTCCTTTAACATTATTTTGTATTTTGTTTTCAGTTGCCATCATTACTTTTCCTCGTAGTATGGTGTGTACTTTTTCTTGAGTTCACTCAGACTTCTATTTTGATGAGTTTCCTTCGTCCATTTTTTTTTATTTCTTTACGTCATCTTTCGTGTGTGGAGCTTTGTGGCATGGCCATTAATTTGATCCAATATTTTGCGTTCTTTTATTTGGAGGGTCAGCTTAAAAATAGTGGAAAATATCTTACTAGAGCAACTGCTTAATTGCCTATCTCATTAAGTACGCTTTCCTATTTCCTTTTTTAAATTTCATATTCTCCGGTAAAATGATATCGAATTTTACATACCAACAACAACAACAATAATAATAATAATAATAATAATAATAATAATAATAATAATCCTTGGTAGCCCGTGCCTTAAAGTAATACAAAAAATTGTTCTTACAAGTACAGCTCACACCTTACAATGGTTTTTATCTGTGTAAAATATTTGCACTCTTAGGTTGTTTTATTTATATTTCCTATTTATTTTACAAAAATGTTCAGAGAAAATGTCATGATGCCATTTCCATTTTTTGAAGCTCAGAAGGAAATGAGTATACAAGAGAAATCAAAGGGGTTGTAGTTACTGTTAGGGACCCGGTTATGGGCAAATAGTGGACCCCCAAACATCTTGAAAGCATAAAAATACATTTTTATAGTAAAAATACCAGCAATGCATTTTTATATAAAAAATTACCAACAATACATATTTATAGTAGAATTACCAACAATACATGTTTAAAGCAAAATGACCAACAATAAATTTTATAGCAAAATGACCAACAATACGTCTTATCTGTAGTTGTAGTCATAAAACTATGTTCAAAATATTTAGATTCCAGCATTAAATAACACATAGAAGTTGATATGCCGCTAAACAAAATCAAATCAAAAAACGAAATCGAATAAAAATATATATATATATATATATATATATATATATATATATATATATATAGTAAAGAATAATAAAAAGAAAACACATGTCAATGTAATGACAAAATTACACAGGTGTAGGCTTTAAAGAAGCTTTATTCAACTGAGAATACAAGTTTCGCGTAGAGTGCCCTTTTATAGTCCCAGTAAATAGAAACAGCAAAGAGGAAAGTAACGAAACAAGGGGAAACAACTCTTGATTATTCATAACAGCCAATATTAAATAATTCAACATATACACTAGACCCCATTAATAAACCAATAATCACTGCTACATTTCTTCTAAAAGTTCTATTTTCTTTATATACTTCCTAAAATCTAACAAGGAATAATTCTAAAGCACTGAATTATCTTCTTATTTTTTTGTCTTATTTTCTGAATACAAAGATAGAATCTAAAATATGTGTTTTCAATCACGTCGTGCATCAGTTCCAGCGCGAATACGATTTGACACATTTCCTTTTGCTTCATTGTAGACATTTAGATAAATTCTGGCTTTGAGAAATTTTTGTCTGCTTCTTTTTATCATAACATTTAAAAAAGTCTAATTTAGATAGAATGTCTGGATTTGTAAACAGAAAAAAACCCTGCCATGACTTTTTTGTCTAGATATATATATTTTATATATATATATATATAAATATATATATATATATATATAGGGATAAAAGGTCCGACTGCCGCCAATTCAGCCCGGCTTCGATCCTAGCTAGAAGCAACCGGACGCCTAGCCACACTGATGAGCTGTGATACAGCGAAACTCTCTGGACGAGTATATATATATATATATATATATATATATATATATATATATATATATATATATATATATATATAAATAGGGGAAACAAATATTCGTACACATAAAATTTTAATTTATTGTATTTCCAGCTAATGAATAAACATACTTTTCATATAATTAGAACAACGTGAATCACCGTCGAGCAAGAAAAATAATTAGACAAAAAATAAAAGAAAAAATATGCGCAAAAAAATCAAAAAGAAATAAAAAATACGGAAAGAAAGAAAAACAAAGAGATAAAAGACGCATGGAAATATTAAAAAAAAACAACAAAAAAAATAGAAAGATAAAATGAAAAGAAAGATAAACAGGAAGAAAGGAAAATCCGTTGAAAAAAGAAAAGAAAAACAAGGATAAAGAAAAAGTGAGAAGGAAAATGAAAAAAGAAAAAAGAAAAAAAGAAACGCGGTAAGTAAAGAAAAAATGAGTGAACTTTATTAAAGTTAAAATGGAGGACACCACTCCAGAAATGGAGCAGGTGGAAAATATTAGGTTTTGAAAATATCTCAAGAACAATTTAAAAAAAAAATATTGCGCTTAAGGAAACAAAATTCGAGGTCTGTTTAAATAATCAATCCCAGATTTTCCCACTCATAGAATCATATTTATCTTCAGTTTGACTCGATTCATAAAAAAAGAAAGTCTCATGCCACAGCTTTAGTAATGGCTCGATTGTAAAAAGGTGTATGACAAGCATCGTCAGTCATTCGCTATAAATATTAAGCTTTCTTTTTTTTTCTTTCAAGGCCTTCTTTTCTTAATGATATTATGTTCTTTACATTCTCTTTACTGAATTTTTTGCTAAATATTCACCCAATACCAGGCTCAAGAGCCACTTAAGGTAGAGGTTTGGTTTCGTTTATTTTGTTTTATGGCATATCAAACTGAATGAATTATTTAAAGTCAATAAGGTTTTCTGGATAAGTTTGTATGAATATAAAGTATGTTTTTGTAAGAAATCATTTAATAGATCAGGTTTCATTGATATAATTTTGTCAAGAGTACTTTTGTCGAGAGTCAGATCTATTCCTGGAATTTTTTTTTCAAAAATGTATTGCTGGTATTTTTACTATAAAAATCCATTTTTATACTTTTATAGTGTTTTGACCCTATTTTGGGAGTTAACTATTTGCCCACAGCTGGGACCCTAACAGGTGCTACCACCCCTGGTCAGGGTGGACCTGAGAACAACAGCAATTAAGTGATAGTTTTACGCTCTTCAAAACTTCCCGATCGGTGGTCTTGCTGCCGGATGTAGTTTATCGTCATACCCAGGACAACCCAAGGTAGAGAGTTTCTGAATTCAGTAATTGCATGAACGTCAGTGAGGGAAGAATGTTTATGTTGCGAAGGTATGGAGGATAGATAACGGCGGATCCGAGATTTGATCATGTGTAGATTTTAGTGATTGGAAAAGCAACCTCTTGGTAATTTGTTCCACAAAGAAAGCGGTACATTAAAGAAGCTGTCCGAGTGGAATTTCCTCCTTACTAATGGAATACGAACGAAATGAGGATAATTCGATCCTGTGTACTTGGCACGGTGGGTCCTAGTTGTAACCATCTGACGTGGTAGAACTAAAGAATCTTGCTCGTCGGAACATTTACCATGGAAATAGTAATAGGCTTACAACGTTTCGTCAGTGAGAAAAGGGCTGTAGGGTTGATATTTCCATCTACAGATTGTAACAGAGTATGACACATCTACGTACCAGACAGCATCTCTTTATTGTATTGAAAATATGTAGATAAGGGCATTATGTGATGCATGTATAATAGGTTAAACACGTAGCCTCGGGGATCTTTCAAAAGGTCACATTAAATAACTAACCTCTTGTCAAATTGTGTATCATGCGAGTAATAAATATTTTCATATCTATACAAGAATGGATTAATAAATACGTGATCTGCCACGAAGTTATTAAGTAAATATTAATCTAAAATTTTCAATATATAATGTTCACTCTAAATTTTCAATATTCAACATTGAATTAAGTGCAAAAAGATAAAGTTTTTTTTTATTAATTATTTCTACTCAAGAAAGGCGATTATGCCCTTAGGACGCAAGGGTTACAGGGAGTGAAAGAGAATGAGAAGACTAGTGAGATTAAGTAAGGAAAAATGACAATAGAAGAAAAAGGATCAAGAACATAGAAGATGGCGATTGGCGTTGCATTTAAACTTTAGAATATTGTGGGTGGCAAGGAAGCAAAAAATTGTTAGGGAGATCAACAGGGGAGAAGTGCAAGAAAATAAACTATTAGAATAGAATTTGCGGTTGAATCTGGCTAGTTCATTAGTAAAACGATGAGAACTCGTTGCCAATCTAGTAGCACGCTTTAAATTCATGCAGTCGAGGCATCAAGGAGGAAAACTCGTCAAAACAAATGCCATGAAATATTTGTATAAAAGGACTGAAGGAAGAGAGTCACTGAAGACGTCAGATCAGGATCGATTATATTACAGACCCCTTCTTTGAGATAAATAGGAGCACAGGCCAATCTTGACAGCAATATTTAATGCAAGGACGAATTATATATAGTATTTTTATAAATGTCCAAGATCAATTTGAGGAGAAAAATGATCTGGCACAACCATGAGCCACTCAAGATAGAGCGTTACTAAATGAGGTTGTTGTATGGGTGTACAGGGAGGGGACAAGTTGTGCATATTATAAGGATATGTAAGATAGATAAGGGTCGGCCCTAGACTTAAAGAGGTTGAGATTATAGCGATCGATTTCAGGATTTTCTTCTTTCAACTTGTCTATGTAGCATCTTTGCTTGTTGAATGCCATGATATTTCATGGGGTTGATAGTGGATTGGTTTCCCGTTACCTTCTCCATGGTGATTTATTGATGCCCCGCCTCTGTTTAGCTGTCCGTTGACTCGTCAAGAATTCTTCCGCCATTTATGAGCTTCAGTAAGTAAATGGATGGCAGAACAGGGCTTAGGAGAAATAACAGAAATATAAAGTTTATTAAGCGCTACAAGTGACAGGAAGTTGTGGAAAGTCATGAACACCTACGTCCTGTGGGGACATGGTACATAAAAATACTTAGCATGCTGGTCCCTGCTGTGAAGGTCTCGACTGGTGAAACTTTATCAAACCATTAATCTGTAATCATATTGAAGTTCCTACATTAGCATATAAGTATAAATCAAATATCTGCTTAAAGTAATATACAGATACAGAGAAATAATGTTATAGACATCGTCAATATTGAAAATTGGAGTAGCAGCTTTTTTTTCGAATGTCTGGGCATTTGTGTTGGCTTACCGTTGAGCGATTTGTCTAAATGTTAACTAATCCTCTTCTCTCGTATCTGAATCATCATAAGATGTTTCATTCAAACCTCTAGACTCTGTGTGTGTTTGTGTTGCTTATGTGTTTATGTGTGTATCAGATTAAGCAAACTTATATCTTGGCTCTAGTCACTCAACATAGAAACCAGTATTTTCAAAAAGTTTTAATAAGTAAATAAATAAAACAAAATAAAATAAAATAAAAAAATGCGAACACATGAGACTAGTGAAATTATTTGAATATCTGATGATAAATATTTAAACTCGAAATGTGACGATAGAACAGGATAAAAAATATACAAATTCAAAAACGTAAATCTAAAAACTAACGAAATTGAAAAGACTTACCCTCTGACGATAACCAAAGTGGTTGAAACTACTTGAAAGATAATCTCGGGAAATACGTCTATAATCTTGAACCATCAATAAAAATATGTATAAGAAAACAAGAAAATTTAAATAAAAACATCTCGAAATAAATAAATATCCACCCTTGGGAAATATACAAAAAAAGAGAAAGAATTTCTTGTCAACAGACACGCACATCCACATAAACACACACATATACACATACACATACACATATGTATTGGAGTGCTGAAAAGTTTTCTGCATGACCAAGGAGGGATACTTTAAAAAAAAAATAACGATAATATTCATATGGGGACACTTTGGAAAGTGGTTTGTCCAGGATAATTTCAGCATCCCCACCCACACAAAAACTCTCACTGTCTCTTTTATACACATAGACAGACAGACACGCGCGTGAATAGACACAACAGAGACACACAGAGACACACAGAGACACACAGACACACACACACACACACACACATATACACATATATATATATATATATATATATATATATATATATATATAGTCATCCACCGACAGCTGTATCACAGCTCTTCAGCGTGGCTAGACGTCCGATTGATTCAAACCGGGATTGAAACATCTAGGCCATCGTCGCACGGCAGAAAGGAAGGAAAATTTAACGTTTTACAAAATACGCCTGCGGCTCGGAGAACCCAATTCATACTTGAAGAGTAATGCTTAATAGCAGTGGGAGCCGCTGTTTTTTTTTTAAAAAAAAACAAAACAAAAAAAACCCCTTACCCTAGAGAGCTCAACCGGATTTCCGGCAGCATATATATAGTCATCCATGGACATACTGTTTCGCTGTATCACAGCTCCTCAGTGTGGTTAGACGTCCGATTGCTTCAAGCCGTGATCGTGATGTGTGTGTGTGTGTGTGTGTGTGTATAGGGTGCAATGGGTAAATTGTCGCCATTTTATATTTTTTTTATTTCGCGCATGACAGTATTCACTAAATTAAACATGGAGACCGTCCAGAAGAGTTGCAAGAGATTCCGAAGTGATCTGGAGGCTGTGGTTGAAACCAATGATGATTTTATTCAATAAATTTACTTTCTAGATATTTTTGTTTAATTTTGGTAAATATATCTATTAAAATGAGATATCAGTGTTATTTTCATTTTTGCGTATATATATATATATATATATATATATATATATATATATTATATATATATTTATGAAAATAAATAAATATACTGTTTGGTGAAAATAAATAAATATACTGTTTAATAAATAAATATAGTGCCTATATTAAAAAAGAAGCATATTATATATATATATATAGAAATATATATATATATATATATATATATATATATATATATATCTTTAACCGTCTTCAATACACATTTTTAAATATTTAGAAATTAGTATTTTTGTTTTTTGAAAATGTGGGCATAAGAAAAAACATCAAAACAAGTTTTTATTTAATATATTTTTCATGGAATAGTTTTCATATTTCTTTTATATTTTAAACATACACACTTGTTTTAAACACACACAAACACGCGCGCACAAACATCAAAACAAGTTTTTATTTACACACACACACACACACATATATATATATATATATATATATATATATATATATATGTATGTATGTATATATATATAGCGTGTGTATGTGCGTGCGTGTGCATGTTTTAGTTTTCATACATGTGTCGACTGTATGTTTTTCTTCCGCCTTCATTTTCGACCTTTTTTTTTGCTTTTTGTGTTTGTCGTGATTTGTGTACGAAATTTCACCGCTGTTCCGAATTTGGAAGCAACATTGAAAATAATGACTCAAAGAATTTCATTTTCATTTTGTCCCTTTGTTTACCGCTTCTTGTTGTTATTGCTTCTGTTTGTTTCCATCCCCTTCAGAAGTTGTCCACTGTAAAGAATGACATTGCCTTTCGCAAATCCAATTCAAATTAAATCGTTTCAACTGGAAAACATGAGGAAACTATAAAACACTCACTCGACATTTTTTCCAGGCAACTCCCTTTTCTGTAGACTATTTAGATTTTTTTTTTAAATTTTCCTTGCATTTCCCGTTTCTTTAATGTTCCTTTCTATTTATACACTTCTTTACCCATACCCTCTTCCTTATTCTTATGGAACTTCAAATGCTTTCATATTCACCGTAAGATGTTTTTTTTTATCCTTTTTTTATTTCCTCTTTATTTAATGCACGTCTGAAGACAAACAACTATACATAATATGATATAGTGAAAGACTTTTTCATATGCCCGCTTCCTCTCTTTGTCTACGAGTTTACATAACCTGATCGCTAATTCTTTTTCATTTTTTTTTTATCATTTCACACCAAGCAAGGCGGGAAGGACACAAGCACGCAGGGGGTTACAGAGAGTGAAGGTGAGAGAGAAGACTGAGACCGAGGAAAGGATAAAAGCTGAACAGGATTCAAGAAGACGGCGATTGACGCTGCATTTAAATTTTTGAAGATTTTAATAATCAGGGAAACAAGGAAACGGAACGGAGTTCCACAGGCGGGAAGTGCGAGAAAAGAAACTAGAGTAGAAATGTCGGTTACATTTACCTAATTCAACAGTAAAAGGGTGGAACGTAGATACCAAATAATAGCAGGCTTAAACTCACGTAATACGTTCACCAGGGAAAAAGCTTGTTAGAGCAGTTACCATGAAAATATTTGTAGAAAAGACAGAGGGAGGCCACGTCACGTTGGTGAGAAAGTGACTGAAGTCGAGATGCCAAGTCAGGATCGGTTATGTTACAGAACTTTGTTCGGATTTTGTCAAGAACCTCGAGATGAGTAGCAGGTGCACCTGGCCAGATATGGCAAACGTATTCAATGCACGGACGAATTGTAGATTTGTATATGTGCAAGATGAACTCTGTCGGGAAGAAACTTCTGGCACGACACAGTGACCCAACTTTCCTTGCAGTAGATGCAGCTATTGAGTCGATATAGTCGATGAACTTCAAGTCAGCTGAAAACGTGAGGCCAAGAAAGCGCAGTGGGTTGCTCTCCATGAGTCTAGATATCAGCCATGTTGATGGCTGATAGGAAAGTTTCTCTGTGGTGATTAAATGAGAGCAGTTTCGTTTTGGAGATATTAAAATTTACGAGCCATTTCCTGATTCAGTTAACCAGTTACGAGCCATTTCCTGACTCAGTTAACCACTTAATCAGGAAATTTTTCAAGAGCAGTGGCCAGGTAAAATTTGTCAATTCTGACGGATTTGCTATTGAGACAGAAGCAAATGGTAGTGTCATCAGCAAAAATGCCTACTTGGGAACTGATGACATCAGAAACATCGTTGACGAAGATCAGTAACAGCGTAGAATCCAGGGGGACATCAGCGTTCATGTGAAAGGATGTTCAAAACGACCTTCATTTCACGATTTCACGATTTAATAGGAATGGTTGGATTAAAAATAAACTTCCAGTAATACAGTAGCCCTGGGGCTTACGTAGAAGACCAGCGTGCCAAACCCTGTCAAACGCCTTCACGGTATCTAAAGCCACACCTCGAGCTTCGCCGTTATTATCAAGAGCTTGATATACCTATTCAGCGATGGCGGTTAGCACATCAGCGGTAGACCTTATAAAACGGAAGACATTATTTGTCATATAGTAGGTTGTGAGATGTAAGATGCTTAACCACTTTAGCATTGATTAAAGCCTCGAATACTTTGCCGAAAAGCGGTAGCAGACAAATAGGCCGGTAGAGCGGGTCAGAAGGTTCATCAGAGTTCTTAAAAACTGAAAGTACAGAGGAGGTCTTCCAACAAGCAGCACGAAATCAGGAAGCAGCGTATAATTTGAAGAGATCTGGGGCCATCTCGGGGGCACATTTCTTTAGGACGACGGCTGGAATCCCGTCATACCCGCTTTCCTTGTCTAATATAAAATAATGTCCGAGACCTGTGACGGGGATATGTGTGTATCACTCAGTAGAGCTTCTATTCTGGGAGAGAAATCAGGTTTGAGTACTCCAATTGAGTCGAGTGTTGAGTTAGAAGAGAATATCAAGGAAAAGCATTCAACTTTATCTGTGTATATGTCAGGATTTCGAATTAGTTGAATAGAGGAGGGATTGAGAATTTTCTATTGTTCAGCACATTCTTGCAGAGCCGCCAATAATCTCTAAAACCGAACTTGTGAAATTCTATACGTTGCTTCATTTTATCAGCAAACAGTAACTTCGCTTCTTAGAGGCCAAGCTTGCACTTATTACGAGCAGAGAAAAAGGGACGTCTGTTGCTCTGGTACAACCGGAAGAAGTGATCCCCGCGCGCATCTAGGTGAGGACCAAGGAGATGAATACGGTTTAACTTGGTATTTCCTTACTGGAATGAAATCATCTATGCCGGCTTTCACCCAGGAGGAGACCTCAGATGCGCATTATTGAACAGGGACGTCACGAAGGAAGACACGGAACAAGTCCAAATCCGCACGTTGACACCAGAAAGATATTCTGTTGGTAGGACGTTCTTGGCTGGTAGGGGAGTGGAAAGAGATGATTACAGCCACTACATAATGATCAGAGTTAAATAGAGGACACCGCTGCAAATTACAACATGGGTCCGTTATAGAAGTGAAAAAGAGTTCTAGAAGAGAAGCGTATCAATCAGGATTACTGGGGAAACGCCTTGGGAAGTCCACCACTTGCGTGACAGATTGACAGATTGACAGATTGAGTGAAAGGCTACTAGCAAAACTCATGTTTACAGAGACATATATCTATCTACATCTATCTTCACCTACAGGTAACTTTTCAAACATAAAGTATGCGTATGCTTGTCTGTCTATATCTCTGAGATGAGGTATCATGATTATTTACATTGTTTACTTTATTCGGACTGTTATCCTCATAAAGGGTTCGGTTCGAAATTCCAATCATCTGAAGAAGACCGGAGTGCACAACGGTCGAAACATTGTGAATATAGCAATGAAGATGATGATAACAGTCTGAATAATGCAAAATAGTGTATGTTTGTATTCAGTTTTTTTATTATTCTTGTTGAAAAAATAAATAAATATACTGTTTAATAATTAAAAGATGCATCTACTGAAATGTAAGCATCCACTAAAAATAACATTTAAAGTGATAAAAATCTGTTGGATTAATAAATAAAAAAAATCCATTACTTCTTTAGAAAATTGCTTTGTTTACTGTGTGTATGAAACTGAGAAGATAATGACGAGAAAGATTTTCCTTAAAGGCATTGCTCAGACCTTGCTTGATTGGTTTTCCTCTTCCCAGGGGGACGCAGGTTCGAATCCTGCGGAAGAAAGAATATTTTTCTTAAATGAGATTTCCCGAATATCCAGGCCGCTGGATGAAAATAAATAAATATACTGTTTAATAATTAAATTATATATCACCTTAAACATTATTTTCAGTCGATATTCATATAGTAAGTAGACACAATGATAACTAACTTCGTAAATCGACCAGGCAATAATTCTTCTTCCCAAAGAATATTTACAGGTGTACTAAAACACATAAAACAAACACTGGTGAACAATAATTTTCCCAGCTACATAATTGATAATCAAATAAAATTATTCTTACAAAAATACATGACTCCTATAACAAAAATACAACACTGCAAAACATCAATATATTTTATTGCAAACAAATACAAAATAACTATAATCAAGACAAATTTTCTATAAGGCAAATCATGAAACACCATTTTCCGGCGTACATATAAAGTTTGTAATCTCTATCTATAAAAGGCAGGATGTGTGTGCCGGTGTGTAACGAATGCACGGCCGTAATTTTCGACAGATTTTCACCAAAATTTACATGTACATGCTCCAAGTTAGCCGGAAGGCCAAGACCGACTTTGCATTTCCCAACTTCATCGATAGTGGAAATAATCAATTTTTTTCATGCTTCTACAGCAGTTTTCTTGGAGTTTGCGGCCATTTTGTACTGGCCAGTGTGAGAGCCTATAGCTGGCTGCCATGAATAGGCAGGAAGATTCTACTGGCCAACGTGAGAGCCAACAGCTGACTGACACGAATGTTAACTAGCATGCTAGTATGCAAAAAAAAAAAAAAATATCGATAGCTGCATTCGTCACAAGTGGGAAAAATTTAAATCTGCATGGCACTTTACTCCAATTGGCTCATTCGCTTGCTTAAACTCAACGTTGATTCTGATTCCGCAGAACTGGGTTGGGTGTGAAAAAGTATTTGTGCTAACATTTTTTTTCATTCGGTTTTTCCAGTTACGAGTCCTTTTTTAAAGCAGATCGTTTTGTGTTCATTTTGTTTAGTTCTTTTTTCGTAACAGATTTAATGTTTAGTATAGAGCTTAGAAAAAAATTCGCAGTGTGAGATAGGCAAGAAGTAAGGCATGTAGCAACATCAGCACGGCAAAGGGCACTTCTTTTAAGTCAAGGAAGGGCAAAAATATTTTAAGTCAAGTGATAGCGATTGCTGTATGAGTCGTACGATTTCTTAATCAAGCACGGTCAACGCCCGTATAATATACATACATACATATATATATATATATATATATATATATATATATATATATATATATATATATATATGTGTGTGTGTGTGTATATATATATATATATATATATATATATATATATAGTCTTAAGATCGCCTCAAGTTATCATATCATGCATGCAGTTTTGATTCCAGTACCTACAACATCTCCTCACTTTATATATATATATATATATATATATATATATATATATATATATATACATAGATACATACATATATGGAGGGAGGGAGGGAGAGAGAGAGAGAGAGAGAGTGAGAAAGTGAGAAGGAGATATTGTAGGTACTGCATGGATGATATGATGATGACTTAAGCAATCTCAAGACTATATATGTACAGGCGCCCTGACGATTGCGTCTAGCATAAAACAGCCTGTCGCCTCTGAGTTTTGACTTCAATGTTCACTTTTATATATTTATTTACATACGCTCTATCTCTGATATTGAGCACTTTATCCCATAAATATAGCACATTTTAAAACTATATTTTTTCATATATATATATATATATGTGTGTGTGTTTTTTGTGTGTGTCTATATGTATTTGAGGATCTACCCAAAAGTAGAAAATGAGGTATTTTATTTTCATACTGGATGGTTTTCCGTTTTTAGAGATGAGTGAAATGTCTAGTGCAATAAAGGAAACGTTGGTCAACGTAAAGAAACAAAATTCAGCAAAATTCTCAAATTTCTTGACCTCTTGGCTCGTAACTTTTAGTGTTTACATTAAAGTTCCATAACATTATGACATATCAATAAAAAGCCAAGTTTTCTTTTTCTTTTAATTGCATTTGGTCTCTTAGTCCTAATGTGCTTTGTCAGTACAGGCATTCCTCGATTAATGCGCATTCGATTAATGTGTTTCCTATTTCGATTAGTGCGCTAAAATTTTTATATACCAAAATTCGATTAGTGCATATATATTACTCGATTCTTCAGTTTAACCATAGTAATTGAATTTTTTTTTATGGTTACTGATGTACACATTTGCAGCACTAACCGAGGGATTCCTGTATTTACGATAAAGTCTAATAACTTTATGACACATGGATTAAAATACAGTTCTTCATTTTCTGCTCCTTGATAATTATGTCTGCCGAGTTTGTCTTAATGTCAGGATTATGCAGCAAAGTCCCATAGCACTGTGACATTTCCTCTTTCTGTTACAGATTCTTAGTGATGTTTTTTTACGTTATTGACTGTAAGTGCTTGCAACTTTTCCAGAGTACATCTTGACCTATTGACCTATTCTCTCATGTCTTTGGCTGTTGTAGTTAAAACAGAACAACCAGAAACAAGATTATCTACTGTTTCTCCATGTAGCTCTGAAATGCAGTAGTTTGAATTGGTACATTTTTTCAATGCTTTTACTTGGTAGTTACAGGCAAATAAACTTTCCTTTTATGCGGACAGTATAAATTCCTCTATGACTGTTTTGTGTCGACAGCTCCAAAGCTACCGGTGGCTGTGTTATTTATTTATTTTTTTTGTTTTGTTTTATTTTTTGGTCTCCATTAATCTCTTTGTTTCGAAAGTGTCATGTTCACGCAGAAGTTTCTGTTCTGTTTTTCTTCAGATAATTTAAGGATTTGTTTCTTGGCAAGTTGCTTACCTTTTTTCAAATCTTTTCTCTCTATATATTCATCATATATCTATATTCATTTCTTCTGCAAAAGAAATGACTTTCATTTCTAACTTTGTTCATTTTTCATTTCATATTTGCAAATTAATTTTAACAACCTGGCTTCGGTGGTCTGTCTAATGCAATCATTGTTGATTTTCAAGCCAGTTCTAAATATATTAATCCCCTGCCGCCATAGGTTTTGGATAAATCCAAACGATTAACGTCCATTTTCGGATGATGCATTCTGCAGGATGTAAATATTACCTAATTTTTGTGCTTGTTTTGATTTCACTCAAATTTCAGTTTATTAAAATTTGGTTTGGTTTGTTTGACGCCATATCAAACCCTTATGGGTCATTTAAAGCATAAATTTAATTTTTTGGAAACTTTGGTGAATTTCTTTCTTTTTTTGCTATTAAAAGCTATTGCGCGATTTTATCTTTTACCATTAAAATCTATTGCCGGATATTTTTTCTATTAAAATCTATTGCTGGAATTTCTTTTTCTATTAAAATCTAGAATTTTTTTTATTATTAAAATCTACTGCAAGAAGTTTTATTATTAAAATCTATTCCTAGACTTTTTTTACTATTAAAATCTAATCCTAGAATTTTTTTTACTACTAAAATCTATTCCTAGACTTTTTTATTATTGAAATCTAATCCTAGAATTTGTTTTTACTATCAAAATCTGTTGCTAGTATCTTTTAGCATTAAAATCTATTGCTAGAGTTTCTTTTTCTATTAAAATTTATTACTATAATGATTCTTACTTCTGACAATTATTGCTGGAAATTTGTTATCTATTAAAATCTATTGAAAAATATTTACTTTCATAGTATTTTGACCAGAGTTTTGGGGTTCACTATTTGCTCATGGCTGGGAACCTCACAAGTACTACAACGATGTGTCAGGTTGGACCTGGATCTAACAGAGGTAGTTCCACCCTCCTCAAAACCTCCTGATCAGATGCCTTACTGCCGGATGTAGTTTATTGTCATACCCAGAATGAAATTATTAAAGATTTAAGTTAACACAAGTGTATTTATTATTGTTGCTTTGTTATCTGAACTAAGATCTGTTTTCAATACTGTTCAGTGTCTTTTAAATCTCTCTGGTTTTTCTACTTTGATCCCCGAATCATTGCACACTTGTTTTTATTGCAGCTCATTTGTCGCACTTTCAATATGCCACCCTATAGTTTTGTTTCCCCACAAACTGACTCTTTGGATTGTAGCTTTTGAACATTTATCAAAACCAAATTCAATCCCTATGTCGTCGCAAAAGCTTTTAACAGAAACTTTCTTTCCAGTTCGTCGTCATCCTTACCGTAATATTTAAGATCGTTCATGAAGAACCATTGGTTGATGAAACAACTTTCCATTTTGTATCTATATGCAGTTTTGTTCAGTTTAGTAGATAGCGGAATCAGGGAAATACATAAATATAGATTTGAAAAAAGAATCACCTTGGAAGATATCACAATTTATAGTCTTCAATGTTATAATACGATTTATAGATCCATTTATAAATCCATTTCCACAGCACTGCCTAAGACGCCATGAAACGAATGTGAACTCCATCGGACAATCAGCCTAATGAGTCATATATGAAAACTTATCTGAATT